AAAATAAAAAGAGAGTGCGGAGTTGAAGTTAGTTTTCATAAAGTTTATCGAGCTAAGAGATATGCACTATCTTTGCTTACAACTGACGTCAGTATGCAGTTTAAGAGGCTCTATGATTATTGTGCCACTGTAGAGAAGCACAATCCAAAAAAGTTCACTAATCTTGAAGGTCCAAAGATCTCTTAGTCCACCAAAATTGCAGAGAATGTATATGTGTATTGCTGCAATGAAGGAAGCATGGTTGAGTGGATGTAGACCTATCATAGGCTTGGATGGATGCTTCAATTCTTAAAGGGATTATATGGCGGACAATTATTGACGGCAGTAGGAAGGGATGGAAACGATAATATGTACCCTATAGCTATGGCATACGTGGAAGTGAAGAAGCTTGATGGTTGGGATTGGTTCTTGAATTTGTTGTTGAGAGATATAGGTTCGGCAGAGCAACACAACTGGACATTTGTTTCTGATAGACAAAAAGGACTCATTGAGGCAATGAAAGCAAATGCTCCACATTCTAACACAGGTTGTCACTAACTATAATAATATATTGTACATCGAGCTAATGAATAAATAAAAGAAAGTTATGCAGTATTTTACTATATACAAGCACAAAAGGGAAAAATTGATATTTATTAAGGTCAAATAGCAAAACTGTTTGCAAAAACGCACAATAAGCGTGTGCAAGACAAACATACTTATTTTTCCGTTAACGGGGAACTCGCGCATCATTTTGACAATCATAGATGTTTTTCGTGCATTTTTTAAAACATAAGGGTATACCGCGTAGACTTTATATAACACAGGTGGTTCTGTGCAATTTACCCGGGACAGGGTGACCAGTAGCGGATTGTGAGGGCAGGCGTAGGCTTTAGTATAGGTATAGTTTAATGCTTAGCCCACCCTAAATTAATGTTCGGTCCATCCCAGCCCAAGTCTATCAAACTTATTACCCAATGCCCGACATGTGGCCTCCTGGCTCCTGCGAACTGTGATGCGCGAGTTGCGAGAAGGCGAAAGACACAAACACGGAACATCACCCGACCTGCGACCACCAGACGCGCCGCCGCCTGCCACCCAATCGTCCAGTTCCTACGTCCCAGCGCAGTCCAGGCGTCCAGCACCCCGCACTCCAGTCACCACGATCTAGCCGTGCCGCCGTGGACTTTGGATTTCAGCCCTCCAGCCTGCACTCTCTAGGTATACTCTATTTCTTTAACGCTCTTTTAATATAATGTACTACCTCCGTCCCCTTTTAAATGTCCAGAAGAAAGTGATACGAGTTTTAAGAAAAGTGGGTTTGTGTGGTTGATATTAATTGGTAAAGTAAGAATAAAGTAAGAATGATTTTGAGTCACACAACTTTACCAAATAAGGTATGGAACATTTGAATAGGGATATCCAATATGGTAAAACGGGACATGGGACGGGGGAAGTATTTTTTTAGTTTTGTAATTGTATTTGTTTATTAATTATTAATTGATAATAAAATAGTGTTTACTTCCTCCGTCCAAAATAATGATGAGCCTGTATTTCCTTTTTGGGATGTCCCAAAATGATAGTCCTGTTTCCCTTTTTGGAAAGAAATATGTGGTCTACATCATTTCACTTTTTTCTACTCAAATCTCAACTACAACTTGTACCTTTTCAATCATTTTATTAAATTTTGTGCCCAAAAGAAACGAGACTATCAAATTGGGACGGATGGAGTATTAATTACTCGTATAAGTTTCTTTGCTTAAATAATACTCCCACCGTTTCTCAAACTGTTTGGCACTTTTTTACGCTGTTTGACACTTTTTTGACAGGGCACTGTTTTGATGTATATTTCTTTGCCAAATACGGAGTAAGAAAATAAGGAAAATCTCACTGTGATTGCTAAATTTAGTATGGTTTCGTCAAACCACTTCTTTTTCCGTCAAACTTCCCTGTTACACTTCTTTTTCCGTCCATCTCCATCCAACTTGGATGTAGGCCTGTCAATGGGTCGGGTCCGGGCCGGAATGTAGTGTTCCAGACCCAGACCCGCTAAGTAAATAAGGGACCCGGACCCAGACCCGTTTACCCGTCGGGTCTGCAACTTTGGATCCGGACCCGGACCCAACGGGTCTCGGGTCTGGGTCGGGTAGACCCGCCATTTTTTTTGGAAGATTAGACCCACCAAATATAAAACAGAACGTGTATATGAATTATGAATGTAATGCAATTCCACAAACTAGCTACATCTAGATCTCAATCATCCTTAATACGGAGTAATAAGTAAAACACATCTTTATTTTTTTTAAAAAAAAATTGATGTTCACGTAAGAAACCAGTGCTTTCATCCAAACGTATTGAATGTCTTTGATAGTGAAATAAACAAAACTCAAATAGAATATCCCAGTTTGTTTTAATATGTATTAATGGGATACTAGTTTTAGGTATGCATTACTATATTAGTATATGAAATATATATTAATAAAAAAAATTATAAACGGGTCTGGGTCCTTAACGGGTCGGAATCATATGTACCATACCCGACCCATTTATTAAAAATATTAACGGGTCCGGGTTCGGGTCCGGGTCCGGGTTCGGGTCCGGGTCCGGGTAAACGGAATAAAACATAGACTCATACCCATTAAAAATAACCGGGTTCGGGTCGGGTCCGGGTCTAGACCCGACCCATTGACAGGCCTACTTGGATGGAGATCAGGGCCGGCTCAGGGCAAGTCTGCCCAGTGCAACCGCACAGGGCCCGGTATTTTGGAAGGCCCAAAAAAATTGTATTACTACCCGGCCCAAAATCTGGCGTTAAACGTAAATCCAATTAACCTGCGGCAAAAGCCCCAAGGCCAAACTCCCCGACTCCCCATTCTCGATTATTCCCCAACCACAAAGCCGCAAGCCTCAAACCACCAGGGCCCTACTTCTCACGGAAATCAGAAGAAGCAAGGACGAGTGTACGACGATTCAACGGACCACTTCGCGCCGCTGCTCTAGTGCTCTCGGCTCTCGCCTCTGGAGTGAAGCCGTGAAAAATGGAAGGAGGATGAAGGATTGGGTGTTGACCTCTGCGGCTCCGCCACCAACGCCAGCGCAAGCTGCCAGGCCGCCACTGTCCCACAGCGACTCCGCGACCCGCCTCCCTTCCGGTCAGTCCACTGATTTTCAGTTTTTCGGATTCATTTGGTTGCTAATTCTTGGGATTTTTGAATTATTGAATTGTTTGATGAATTGATGAATTGTTGATTTTTGAAGTATTGAATTATTGAATTGTTGAATTGTTTATTGAATTGTAATAAATGTGTAAGTGTGTTTAGCATTACATTTATTAGTAACTTGTATTTTAAGATAATATAAATTTGATAACTTGTATTTTAAGACATTTTGCTTGTGTTGCAACTTGAAAAAAAGCCCTAATTTTATTGTCGCACAGGTCTATATTTTCTTGGGACCGGCCCTGCATCAAACCTCACACCTTTACAAGTAATCGTCATCTTCGATTAATTACAAGCATCTCTTCCCCATAACTCTGCATCTATACAAATCAACAAATGCCAAATTATTTCTACATACTCTACGTCTATACGCATACATCATAGCGGTTACAAGGTGCTCATTTGATCCGTTGCTATTTCTATTCCTTAAACCAGGTATTTTTTCTATCTTTGAAACTATTCCATCCACTTGTTGCAATTGAAAACGTAGCATCTCTAATGTATACCTACGTTTCTGTCTCGTAATGAAATTAGCAGTGCACTTTCCTATTCATATAATTCATTTATCCTAAATATTTCTAGGCCTAAAAAAATCTCTTAACAGAAACGGCTTCTGCATCTTATTCCTACACTTTGTATTGAATCACAAGTGCTTCAATTAACAATGACCAATGTTACTTACGCAGTTTGTTGATGTCCACAAAGTGCTCGATAAAATGCCTTAGTCAATGTTTTTGTAAACACAGATTAATATCTTCATAAAAAAGTATCTAAGAACTAAGATAAGATTCTCAACAGTTTCCCTTTGCTTTTATGATGTTTAGTTTTTTTCTCATAAAATCAATTTTTTTTGCATTCTTTTATCGCATAACTATTTTCTGTTTCCAACAAAGAATAATTTTTTACAAAAGTTTCATTTTTCCTTCTACAATACTGTGTTTTAGAAGGTGCAACAAGTGCTTGGCATCGAGATGCACTCTTGTAGGGGCTCCATAAATTTAGAATGTATTATAGGTTGATTTTTCTACATCTTATGTGTGATTCAAGATTCCAAAAGGTATATAACTTTTAGATTGTTTAGTTTGTATACTTTAAACATTATAATTCATATATTTCATTGAAGTATCTAATCTATTTTCATTTCATAGTTAATCTTATTATTTTTCTTGTTTAAGGTGGCCTCAATTCGCGATTTGAAACCGAGGCCTCCAAATTCATTAGTCGCCTCCGTTCAAATGACATAAAATAGTTGACCTGTTTCAAGCGATAAAAATGTATGAGTCTAGGATCACATGGTCTAAATTATTGTTTCTTTCTCTTAACTGGATTACAAGTTTTATAATATAACAAGTTCTGGTGGGAAGTAAGTTTCTTTTAGGTAGTAATCTTAAAATTGTTCCTTTATTTATTCAAATGATCTCAAGTATTTGTTCACAAAAATGCCCAAACGTTTTGAAAAGTCTTCTGTCAATTTTCTATAACAAAATATGTCCAAGGAACAAAAATCGTTCCTATTGCTAAAAAACAACAAGACTTTACGAAAAAAGTATGATATGGTTCCATTTATTTAATATTAAAAGCTCCATTTATTTTTAAATTAAAAATACTAACATTCAAACTAAGTATTTCATTATTTAAGATCCAATTAATCAACGAAAAAAAGCTCCAATTAATCAAAAAAGTAATCCTATTCAGGTAGTAAATGAGTACCATTGCATTGATTTCCATTCGTAGTGTAACTAAAATATCTCCCACATATTCTACACTTTATACAAATTAACAAAATCTAACATTGTAAAATTAAACTCGTTTTTCATATACTATTTGAATTCCTTCAATTTTTGAATAATTCTCTTTTGTAATAATATTTTTAAATAATCACATTGGGCACTGTTCGCATGTAGTGCGCACACTGATAGTATAATGAATAATGATAGAATCATAGAATAAAATATCAGAGAACGATGTAATGATTATACAATTGAAGATTAGAGACTGATTTATTTATTGTGTAGTCATGATATGTTTTTCATACTTTACTGTTTTCTAGGATTGAATTTCATACTTTTTCCTCTACAATTAATAATTTCCGAATTTCCCATTTAAATAACTCATTCTTTTCTTTCTACTTTAATTAATTATTTATCTAGTGCTTCATCGTGCTTAATAACATTATTGTGATGTAAGTCTTAAACAATAAACATGAGTAGCTAATTCCATCTAGAGTTTCAATTGGGGATAGGATTATGGGTTCTTGAGTGTATGGGTTTAGTTTTTGAAATTCAATTAATTTCTAGATAATTGTATGAGATTAATTATAATAGACTATGTGATATTGATCACCTTGTATATGAATGTTGAAATTTAATTCAATTCTTGTCTATGAGAATTTGAGTTAAATTAACTTGGTTCTTATCCAAGCAATATGATCCTAGAAATAAGTTGCAAATGCGATAATAGAATTTAATTCTTGTTTATGAGAACTTATTTGGTTTCCTGTTCAGGAAATTGAAAATCAATTTACTTAATTCTAAACCTGAAAGAACACCAAGAACCTGATCCATCCAATTTGAACTCTATTTTAAATCTAGAATCAATTTGATTTTTTCCCTATTAATTTTGCACTTGCTGTTGGTTAGTTATTAAAACCATCCAATCATTGTCTAGAATGATTGTCATGGCTTGTGCTAGCTTCTGATCCCAAATCGTATTTAAAACTTTCTTTTTGGCACTGTTGCGAGGCGATACTCGTGGTCAGTTTTCTACCTGAATTAACCTACCACGTTCCATTCACGTAAAAAAATGACTGATCAAATAACATACATATAACAGGAGGAGGACGTCTGGAATCTATAGGGACTTGGTGCTGCCTGACAGACTTTATAGCCACTGCTTCTCCTTGAGGCATGGAATCCCAGACGGGCAATACAACGGAGGACATCTTCGACTCATCTCTGAATGTAGAGGACATCTATTACAAACAAGGACACACCGATGGTTATGCTGACGGCCTATCATCCGGTGTAGAGGAAGGTCGTCAGGTAGGCCTAAAAACTGGCTTTGAAACGGGCTTAGAATTGGGCTTCTACAGAGGCTGTGTCGATGTGTGGAGCTCCGCAATCCGGCTAGATCCAACCTGTTTCTCGACTCGTGTTCAGAAAAACATCAAACAGATTGATGAATTGCTCCAAAGGTACCCTATATCTGACCCCGAAAATGAATCTGTTACTGATACTATGGAGTCCTTGAGGATGAAGTTCCGAGCTATCTGTGCCACCCTCAACGTTAAGTTAGAGTATGAGGGTTATCCTAGGGCATCCGATTCTCAGAAAACTGGATTTTGATGGTATATTCTATTCTATACAGTAAATGATGTATATTGTTCACCTAAGTTTTGTATTTTTTGTTTTCAATTTATGAAAATCAGTTCATGATTGTTCTGAATAGTGAATTAAATTGAGCATCGAAGAGTCGTTTTTCATGTGTATTGATGGTGAACTGTTAGATATTAATGGCACTTATAATTAATTAGTGGTGTACATTAGGTAATGAGTTAGGCAAGAAACCTATCTGGTCTTAGAATAGGACTTTTCACCAACTGGGAATCTGGGGTAGGTTCAGTATTCATAATTGTTCTAAGCATTGCCATGTTCTTGCTATTATATTTGGTCATTTGGATCACATTTATTGCTTATGCTCATCACTCATTTAATGATAATAATAATAAGAGGTTTTTCCATATATAATATATATTGTCAAAAAATGTGTTCTGAAAAAAATGTGACTGAAGTTACTATGTAACTTCAATGTTACTTCAATGTAAATTTTTGAACAAATTCATGATGACTAAAGTTATTCCTATGGTCACTAAAGTATAAAAAGTCATGTTTTTATCTATCGTCTTTATTATACTACATAGTCAAATATCCGTCATTATTTCTAATAATAATCTTTTCTATTGCCTCATTCTTTTATGAAGTATTACTCTGGAGTACACCCATGTGAACAAAACACAATCTTGATGGGAAGCATGTTCTTACACTTCTATTTATGTGAAATATCTTCATGTTATTTTGGCTTATATTATAAGAACCGTGTTGTTATTTCATACTCCAATTATTAGCGGTTTCACCTGTTTAGGTTAGTTATTTTGTCCTTTGATTTGAGAGCCTTTGTCTTTCTGTTTCGCTAGTTGTGTGATTTGTACGTCAGTTCATTGAAAGAGCAGATTGATGATAATAATGCATTCTGGATAGGGCTATTTCCAGACTTCCAGTAACTTACGTAATGCAGAATAAGTTTGATAAAATTTGTATGTTTCTTTGTTGTCTTTGTTCTTCAATTACCAAAACTAAAACCTTTATTCTCCAGTGTTTTTTTTACTATACACAAACACGTTCATTTAGTTATTGACTTCTTGATCTTTATATGACTGGAATACACAGGTAAAACGTGTGAAAAAAAATATATCTCTTACGGTCTTACCTTTTGCTAAGCATTTCCAGCATTTTTAATTGAGCCAAGAACTTACTATTTTTGTTTTGGGAATATGATGAAATAAAGCAAAATGGCTCACTGAAGTGTTTGTGCTTCCTTTAGTACAGGGGTAAAGCTGCATACATCTGACTCTCCTTACCCCATCTTTGGTGGGAGCCTTTGCGGCTTTGGGGTAATGTTGTTGTTGTTTTACCTTTTGCCAAGTAGTCTTTAATTCCAAATATCCCCTCCTTTTTCTATGTTCTTTCCCTCCTAGCATTTTTTGGGCTCCAAAGAAACCCATGACGGCTGATAGGTAGGGGCCAATTTGGTTGCAAGAATTGAATATGTAACTGAAGTACTGAACATGCTGAATGAATGAGAGAATTAAGATAAAGTATTTGAAACTGTATTTTCAGCAAATAATTAAAGGAAATAAAACTAAAATGTGTGAGCAAAAGTACCATTATCTTTATCTTAGACATTTCAGGGTATGGTCTAATTATAAATTTATAATTGTAATGGAAGTGCCAAACTGCCAATCAAGTAGGCTTGGGAGGTAAGTGGTCACTTTCTCGTTCTGCTCCATATGATTTAATTCTTGATGTTACATTAGTTTTGTCAGAATGAGGGGGAGGGTATATACAATTGTTTCCTGAGCTACTTACTTGCTTAGGTGTATAAGTGTATTTATTCCATTGATGTAATAGTTAAAGTGTGATTAACGGACTGATTAAACAGGAAGATGTGATAAGCCCGCTCGTAAAACACGAACCTGGGCATTAATGATGCTTTTGCTAAACAGTTCAAAGAGGCATGGAAGAATGATGAAATATCAAATGCGGGGTTATAGTTTTATGAGATGAGTGGGTACAACGATGGGTGGGGTAGGCTGGGCACATGGGGTGGGGGTGCATATGGCCCTAACAGCCAACAAAGAAAAGCCGATTAGATTGGCAGAAGCAGAGGGTATACCCCATTCTGTTTTTTCAGTTTTACCTAGAAATTAACTGCTTGCTTGTTTATGCACTCTGAGTCTGTGAGGCTTGTTTTGTGTGGACACGGGCTGTTTTTGGGTCCCGGTAGAGTTCGGGAGGAAGCGGGACTCGATCCTACAAAATCGATTTAATCACTCGGTCCGTTTTCAAACCGGGGCGGAGTCAGGAGATTAGGGTGGTCAAACTTGCCCCTAAGAAAGTTCGAGCATGTAAAACCATGAAATATCTTTGATTGGATGGATATCTTTGAGTCCTGAAAAATCAATGTTCTCTCCGTTCTTAAAAACTTCTTCCTACTTCTTTTGTCTAAAAATCAATGCATCCCCTAAAGTTCTTTGTTTAGTCAAGAAATCTACTCAGTAATATATTTTTTTTAAATCAAAGGAATCTCTTAGCAAAGTTATTTTTCTTTGTTTAGTCATCTACCCATGTAATATACGTAGTATAGTGTATAACCACCATGTCTGCGTCAAGACAATGTACTCTCCAAGTCTGCATATATTCACCCTTAATATGAACAAAGCACTTATTTTTTGAATGAGGAAGTTACGTATGGACGAATGTGTTTATGCATTTGTCCTTGTCAATTTTGTGTAGCAAGTAATTAACAGGTTATCATTACAATTTACAAATAAGCCTTTATATTATCATGTATATTTAAATATGTACCGAAGTGTGTGCTTATCTTGAAAAGGAATGAGGCTCAAGTGCACAACTCCTCCGATTCGTATACTGTACAGCCGGCTACAGTGACCGCTGTATAGCCGGTGGCAAACTTGTAATTTTTGTGAAAATCGCGGATTCTCTTAAATGAGCATTTATGCAATTTTGATGAGCATCAAGCCTATTCTTTTGAGTATTAGGAGCCTAACGGTGAGCATTAGTGATCTCTGCTTCATACCTTACATATCACTTTCTGTTTATTATTTTTTCGTTTATTAAAAAGTCTTAAGTTATGTCTATAATCAATTTCAATATGTGAATCTAGTGTAGTATGATATGTTTGAAATGTGCAATCAATATATATATATATATATAAGAAGAACTTTTTAAGAGCATACGTCGCGCCACACAATCTTGTTATGTCATTATATTTAGTTATGTTTATACCTTCTGTTTTTATACCTTCTGTTTTTAGTTATTTTTATTATTTAGTTATTTTTATACCTTTTGTTTTTATTAGCTAGATTCTATTTTTGATTGCATATTGATATGGAAACAAAAATCCTTAGAAATCTACCTTAATTAATTTGGTAACTTTTTCAAAACCCATTACATATTCGATAAGTATTAAATTGTGTAATTGGAACCACAACAATTAATAACCAAATTTTAAGCACGGACTCACGGAGTAACAATCATTTAATTATTTTATACTTGTTTATTTTTTATTATATTCTATTAAAGAGATGAAATATTTGTCTCTTAAATCAGCCGAATTGCTATTAATTTTGTCTTCAAAGTAATTTGATAAAAATAAAAATGTAATAATAGTGTCTCATTTCCTAAAATGTAATATTTATTTTTCTGAACTCAATGTTGAGATAATGATTAAAATTCCTTTTTCGAAAGAGATAATGTCTTAATTCTAAGCCCTGGATTTGCAATTGTCTTAATACTTCACATTTTGCTCCATCTTCATACAATTCTTTCTTAATTATTAAAATAATGATAAAAATTATAACCACCATATAAAATCTTAAAAAGAATACTGCTGATCAATTAGCTTACCTTATTTAATAAAGATGAAAATTGATATCATACATAAATACATACATGTATGTATATTTTCACAAGTAAATACGTTTAGATATTCTAATATGAAAAACATAATTAAAACTATTAGATATTCTAATATAAAATCTTAAAAAGAATACTTTTGATCAAGTACCTTACCTTATTTAATAAGGATGAAAATTGAAATCATACATAAATACATACATGTATGTATATTTTCACAAGTAAATACGTTTAGGCCTAGCCAAAAAAGTAAATATGTTTGGTTATTTATTTATTTTACAACTACAATTTAAATGTGTCTTCACTTTTGAAATAGATTCCTAATCCAAATTAGAAAATCTTTATATGTTTACGAAGTCCTACTTTTATTTTAATATTTTTTTTTAATTGGATTGATTTCAGGTCCAGATTAAATAAAATCAAATCAAACTTTAATAATAATAATAATAATAATAATAATAATAATAATAATAATAATTGATGGAGTATATGGCCCAGGAACCCCCGGCCCATAGACTCCTACTTCTCCTACACAAGTCCATTGAGCTCAGGAAACAACTCAGGCCCAAATACAACGGCCCAAGCCTCAAAGTAGCCCAGAATACACACTGGGGTGCCTTCGGCCTCCTTGGCCGAAGGCTCCAGAAACTCACGAAGTAGCCCTCTCTGACATACGAAGCTATTGGGAGAAAACGGCGAAAAACATGAGCCTTCGGCATTACCAAGCCCTCGGTATTAGGGAAGCCTTCGGCTGAACTTAGCCCTCTGCCACTCGGGGCCTTCGGCTACACAGGGGTCCTTGGCTACATGGAGCCCTCGGCCACACAAGGTGCCTTCGGCCAAACACTCTCAATCATCGAAGATTCCTTTTAGGGACAGCCAACCACCACATTTAATGCCACGTCACATCCGCCAACCGCATTCAATGCGGTGAACGTACCACTGCCGGTGCCACCAGGCTGATATGACCCTTCGGCCGTTAGATTACTGACACGTGTACTCTCATCGCATTTATTGCTGCTATAAATAGCAGCCCATTTCTCCTTGTAATCGACATCGACATCCCCAACTCCACATCTCGAGTTCATTTAATAAATCGACTCTCTCTCCTCCTATTTGCTCTGACTTCTCTCTAGTTATTCCCGCAATAACCCCTCGGATAAGATACCCCCCGGGTAGACTATCCATCAATAATAATAAGTCACATAAAATGTAAAACAAACATCTACAAGACCATATTAATTCATACCAAATCAAACCCAAAATT